ATGTTTTCATGTCTTGGTTTTATTGGCCATTTACATTTTTTTTTCTTTGTAAGGTCTATTGTCCTTTTAATTGGTTTGTTTGCTTCTTATTGATTTTGAAGGAGTTCTTTATATATATCCTGCATATACACATATATGCACATACACATACATATATATAGTAATACATGTTTTAACATGGCTTCTAGTTTGTAGCTTGTCTTTTAATTTGTAGTGTCTCTCAATGAACAAAAGTTCTTAATTTTACTTCATCAGTCCTTTTATAGTGTGTGCTTTAGGAGTCATGTTTAAGAAATCTTCCATCTCCAGAGGTCATAAAGACATTCTTTTATAGTTCTTCTAAAAGTTTTAATAAAGTTTTGCTCTTTACATGAAAGTCTTTCATCCATCTGCCAGTTTAAGAAATTAAAATGTGATGAATCTTTACTTAAAATACATAGTTGACATGTTTGCTGAATGTCCATTGAGTCTGTGATGCCAAAAGTTTGGCAAGCATTGCGTTAAATAATGAGGTAGTTGCAATAGTAGGGGGAAACCCCCCAAATAAGCATACAAGGTGTCTTACATTAATGATGGATATTTTAAGAGATTTGTTAGAAAAAAAATTTTTTTTCACAGCCATAGGCTCAGTTTAAGTTACAGACACTGGTTTCTGACTGCACTGGTTTGAATACCTGAGTACTATTAATCTGCACAATAAGTGAATCTCAAAAATCAAGAAGGTAACTAATCATAGCATAATAAAACTGAAAAATACCCAGCTTGTCTTTTTAAAATTTTATAGCCTTTTGATATATAGATGTGTAGGATACATAGATGTTTAAGATGTATAAGAAGAGCTACTCAAAGCCTGTGATGATTCTGCACGCCTTTATCTTGTGTTTTCAGTGCCTCGACCTTTATAGTTATTTGTCCATCAGTATCACACCACCTGCTCTGCCACTTTCCTTGTCCACTGTCCACTGTTTATTGTTTCCTAGGAAAGAAGTAAAACCAGCCCTTCTGTATAAGCAGTTTATACCCGTAGATAGACTTTTATGTGGAGGTAAAAACAGATCAGCTTTATTACCAAAGGACGGTTCATGTGCTTAGCTGCATCAGCATTAATTGGAATGTGACATCTACAATAAAATATAGCCTAAGATAAAAAGTATCCTTTTGGAAATACTAGTTCTTTTTAAAGTATTGTTTGTTATGGAAAATAATTAACAGTAAGTCAATAATTATCTGCTAGAAAAATTCAAAATAGAGGTTTTAGTTTAAAATAATTGAATGGGATACAAAAATTATATTTAAAACAGAAAAATAAGCAGTTTTATCTTGTAAATTATCTCTTTTCCGAAGAAGAGCCTGTGTTGCCATGAGGTTCTGCATGTTGCTATTTAGAATTCAGATTTCTTTTTTTAATTTTTTGTAGAGATGGGGAAAGGGGGGGCGGTCTTGCTATGTTGCCCAGGCTGGTCTTGAACTCCTGGCCTCATGTGATCCTCCTGCCTTGGCCTTCCAGAGTGCTGAGATTATACGTGTACGCCACCACACCTGGCCAAGAACCATTTTATTAAGCTTGTGGAGACTAATTAGAATTCTGAATATCTCTGAAAATCTTTCTTTAAAAATATAATATTGATATATCTGATTTAATAAAATATAAAAGCAAATAGTAAATATCACTGACTTTGCCCTTTTGGTGTATAGAATCCATAAAACTGAACAATCGGGGACCTAACTAGTTTCTAATTTGTTGGTGTTTGATTTTAGGGGACCACTGAAACCCTGTAAAGGCAGACACATTTAAAGTTTTCTTGTAATATTAGTGAATCACAATTACTGGAAGGGTTTATGATCCATCATGATTTGATACTAACATTGTCAGTTGCCCTGGAATCAGTTGAGAGCTCAGCGAAGTAATGCAAGTATAGTAGAGAACAAGTTTAAACAAAGTCACCAAATAGCCTGGTGTGTGTCCATGCACTTTTACCTGCTTTGGGAAAAGAGGAACTGGTAAAGCACAGCTGTCCGTTGTGAGCTAGAAACCTCTAGGGTAACTACTGACAGGGCTTATGCATTTAAGCCAGGTAGTAGAAAATAAATGGGTAACTTTTGTAATTTCAGTAGAAAATACAAGTGTTATTCATCAGATATTGGTTTCCAGTATGTAATGGTCACTTAAATTTTTAAGATTTGTTAGCGTTCAGTGTTTTTAAAAAAGAAATTCTATGTTTAATGTATAGATCATGCACAGTTCAGTGTGTTTCTTGGCACTGAATTACCCACTGCTCTTAGCAATGTAATAGTAGGGTGAGAGAGTTTGTTTAGATCTGTTTTAAGCATCCATAATCTTTTTGTAGAGGCAAATACTGTAGACCATTCAATGTTAAGTACTCTGTTTTGTCTTCTCCCACTTGGAGGAGCCATTAACATTTTCATTGAATTTTTGTAACACTCTGAGTAAAAATGTTAGGATTTTTGCCTTTCCGTCTACTTAATATAATCAATCATTTTTATCTTAATGTGGGCTGCAGTGAATTGATGGAACTCTGACTTAATTTTCATTGACACTTTACATTTAAAAATGGAATTTGTAACGTGGTAAAATGCACAATGAAATAGGTATAAGAAACCTCACTTAATATTGTTATTAAGGTATTATTAAAATGTGTGATCTTGGCTAAGTCATTCAAATTCCTGTCTGGAAATGAGGGTGTTGAACTAAATCTCTAATAATTCTAGTTCTTATGTGAACATTTTAGATGGAAACCAGCATACAGTATTTTTGTAAATTCTCCCAAATGGTATATCTGTTTGTATCAGACAATTTGTGTGTGCCTGTGTGTGTGGGTGTGTGTTTGTGTGTGTGAGAGAGAGAGAGAGAGAGAGGCTATTTTGCCTAGAAAAGGATGTTGTGGGTATGTGTGTGAGAGACAGAGAGAGTGGCTATTTTGCTCAGAAAAGGTTGTTCAGGGCACTTTTGTTCTTTATAATGGATATTAGATTTATTAAAGCTATACATTAAACAATGAAGAATTTTATTAAATTCAACTCTTTACAAATCTAACATATTTTAGCAATGATTTTAAGAGAGGTTTTTTATAACTTAAGATCCCTTTACATTGCCTTTATAAATTTAGTGCTTATTTTTAAGTACTTAAATTATCTGAAAAATTTTTGCAAGTTGAAAAGATGTAGGAAAAACGCTCAGTTTCTCATGCTATACTCTCACAGTACAGAGCACTTCTGATAGTAGATGTGTGGGGTTATTTCTCTACACAGCGGGCGGTAAACCAACTTTGAGGCAGATTCTCCAGTGGACAGCAGCTGGGTGTCCTCTAATTCAGTTCAGTTCTAACACTCTGCCTGGAGATAGCATCAGATCCCACAGGTTGAGGTCTCAGTCCTACAAAACTGCCCCCACATTTGATGCCAGTTGAAAGCCCCAGGTTGTTTTACTTGTGCTTCTGACCAACGAGTTATAAATTGGGGTTCACGCCACCCCTGTCTTGTGTTTAACTGATTTGCTAGAGTGGCTCACAGAACTCATGGCAACACTTCACTTACATTTACCAGTTTATTATAAAGGATATTACAAAAGATACAGATGAAAAGATGCATAGGGTGAGGCGTGTGGGAAAGGGCCTGCAGCTTCCATGCCCTCTCTGAGCACATCACCCTCCAGAAGCCTCCACGTCTTCAGTTATCCTGAAGCTCCCAAACCCTGTCCTTCTGGCTTTTTATGAAGCTTCATTACCATTGATTACACCATTCATTGGCCATTGGTGATCAATTCAGCCTTCACCCCTCTTGCCTCCCTGGAGGTCAGGCGGTGGTACTGAAAGTTCTAACCCTCTAATCGCTGATTGCCAGAAGAACCTGCCTGGTACTTCAAGACCCTTTCAATTTTGCCATCTCAAGCAATTTGGTTGAGATGCTTGGTTAATCCTTTCCAAGCACATTTGGGGTCACGTTCTCAGATGGCTGAGGCTGAATCTTCTGAAAGCATGTGGAATCTAGAGCTACAGACATCCAGGATGATTTTTCCTCATGAAAGGGATAAGTTGAGCCTAGTTGTATATTTTGCCAACAGTGACTCTGAGGCCATGCCTTCCAAGTGGGGTGGTCTTTAAACCTGCCACCTTTGGATTCAGATTCCCCATCATTTAATCCTCAAGTATGACGGGTCTTCAGTCCCCACACCCAGGACGCTTGACTGACTTACTTAATTTACTCTATTGCTTGATTCTGTTCTATATTTTTATTTGTCAGGCTAAAATTTTTAAGCATTTTAAGCATTTATTTTAAAATAAAACCTACTTGGATTTTGCATAGCTCCCACGTCTTATCTGGACAGTAAAAGTTCTAAGGTCAATCTCATGACAGTTTTAACTTCCAGTTTTCTGGAACACAAAGAATGTTTGTGTCCTAAAAAAAAAGTTACACAGAGTACATAAACAGGGATTATATTTGGATTACGATCTTGATTTCTTCACATATGGTGTAATATAATACCTTAGCTCTCCAATTGTATTATAAGGTTGTTGGCATGGACTGTATACCAGTGCTGGCCAATGGAAATGTAATTAGAGCCACATATGTAATTTAACAGGTTCTAGTAGCCACAGTAAGTAAAAAAAAAAAAACAGGTGAAATTAATTTATTTTATTTAACCCAGTATAATCGAAATATTATTTCAAGAAATAATCACCATAAAAATTGAGTTATTTTACATTCTTTTCTTCATACCGAGTCTTTGAAATTCAGTGTTATTTTATTCTTATGCACATCCCAATTCTGACTATCCACATTTCAAGTGATCAATAGTCACGTGTCGCTGGTGGCTTCTGTATTAGGCAATGCAGTTATATATGTACTTCTGCACCTTAGCTCTAGTAATGTAATTGTTGCTAGTATGTAAATGTGTATGTTTCCTTTAGATACAGATTTCTCTAATTGAATAAAATAGAAAATATTTTGAAATATATATCTTTATTTTCTTTCTCTTAAAGGCCCTTCCTTCTTCCATGATTATAGTAGCAGTTTATTGTCCTGTGATAGCTGCCGTTTTCATTGTTCTGAAGATGGTCAACTATCGACTACACAGAGCCCTTGATGCCGGAGAAGTTGTAGATAGGAATGCAAATGAGTTCACAGATCAGCGAGCCAAAGCTGAGCAAGGCAACTGTTCAACCAGGAGAAAAGACAGCAACGGACCGAGGTAAGGAAACCTATGTCACTCAGTTTGTATTGATATAGATCGTGGTATGTGTGTAATGGTGGGATTATTGTGTTGTACCTGTTCTCTTTATATGATTTTAAGGCAGCATTAGATCTTACACTTGAGATACAATGACAAGTACAGATTGTAATATTAGAACGGAACAAAACTAACTGGCATGTTTGAGGGATTAAATCAATATCCTTGCCCTCATTACTAAACAAGTTAGACCAATCTGCCACTGTATAATAGTTACTTACACCAAAGGCCAAAGCCAATGAAAAACAGCCTCAAGAAATAATTAAGCATGGCTTATCAATCTCAAAATATGTATATATCTTAAGCAAAGTGTAATAATATTTTACTTGACATTTATAATCTACATTTTTCATTTAATCTATTGTAAATATCTTTCAGTTTTATATTCTTATCTTAGAAACTTAGCTTCTTTCCTAGATCTTTGCAAGACTGACTTCTTAAGATTCAACTGTGGCTAGATGTCATCTCCTCCTGGAGGTTTTTTTCCCCTTCCCATCCCAGCTGAAGTATTACTCGTATTGCTCACAGTCACATTCTGTTGGCGACCTTGGCCTCACCCACTTTCTCTTTGACAGATGAATTTACTTTATTCATAGTCAGAAGTTTATTGTGACCTTATAGAAATAATAGGTACCACTAATATAACAACAGTTTCTTTTGAACGCTTGACATGTATAAACTTATTTAATTCTCAAAACAATTCTGTGAGATATCTGTTATTATCCCTGATTTACAGATGTGGAAACCAAGGTGAAAAAGATCAAATAATCTAAGCGATTGTTTCCACTCAGCATAATATGAAATATTTCAGATATTAAGGTACAAGTAATATAATGAAAAGTAGGCACTCTTCTGTTAAGACAGGTAATATTTCTGTGTATTTTCCAGTGCACTGAAAGCCTTTGTCTATCCCTTTTCAATTACATTTTTACTCATCTCTAACATGATTACCCTGTTTGTTCATTGAACAAATATTTTTTCCCTTGTAATAATTTTTTAATGCCTTAATCACTATCCGAAATTACCTTAATCATTTATTTGCATTTATAAGCTTTTTGAAGGCAAGGGCCTTATTTTTCCTATAAACTATTATATTCCCAGGTCCTAAATCAGTGTCTGGCTCTGATAGGTACTCAGGAAATATTGGAAGTAGTGAAAACAGTTTTTCTGTGACATTATGTTTCATGGTACATAGTATTCTATTGAGTGGATACATTATAATTTAATTATCCTTTTTAAAATTATTTCAGTTATTTTCAAATTTACATATTAGAAATACCACTGTGATGTTTAAATTTTAAATAATTAAATGTTTTACCATAATTTATCAAAGGTGAAATTACTAGAAAGGCTATATACATTTTTAAGTTTTCCAGTATATACTGCCAAATTCTAAAGATTTTAGCTACTATAAGCAGCACTTTGAGAGCTGCTTGTTTTGCACTTTTGACAACACTGAGTATTTCATGTTTTGAAAAACTGTGATATCTCGTTTAATTTTTCCATTTTTGGATTATTAGTGAAATGGAAGTATTTTCCTTGTTATTGCCATTTATATTTGTTATTTTGTGAGTTGTATATTCTTCTATTAGTATTTTTGCTATTTATTTGGAGAAGATATTTATTTATGAAGGATAGTAACTCTTATGTTCTGTGTCAGATACTTTCCCTCAGTTTATAGTATTTTGTCTATATGCCATAATTTATTTTTATGTGGTCTATTCTATGTATGTTATTTCTGCTTTTGATATTAAGTTTTATAATATTTTCCCTTCCCCCCATTATATAAATATTCACTTGTATCTACTTTCAGTATTTTTATCATTTTACTTTTTTTTTTAAATTATAGTCAATTTGAAAACATTTTCACTTAATATGTTTAAGTTTGTTTGTCGAAACACCATTCATTAAATAATTCATCTTTTCCCGGTAATTTTAAATCTTTCTTTTTCATGTAGCATACTTACGTATACTTATGTCAGCTTTTGGCCTTGGTTTCTGCCTCATTGATCTTTCTGTCTTTTTTTGTTTATACCATACTATTTTTATCATAGGAGCTTTACAATATGCATAATACTTAGCAGTGTGAGTCCCTCCTCAATATTTCTCTTTTTCAGTATTATTTTGGTTATTCTCATACATACATTTGCTTTTTTGTGAGATGTCTTCCTATGTGCTCATCCTCCAAAAAATTCCATTAGAATTTTCATAATTAAATTTGGAGAAACTCAATCTTTAAAATAGGAACATGGATGAGATTTCCATTTATTTTCATATATTTTTATTTATTATCCATTTATTCATTTTTCTATCTCATAGCATTTCACATTTTTTAAATAGTTTCTGTACATTTCTTAAGTCTATTCTATTTCTATTAAGGAATGCATACTCTTACATTATAGATAAGCAAACAGAATGTAGACTACGCAATTCATCAGCTAAGACTTGAATCACCTCCTAATTATATGACCTTGGAGAAATTACTTAAACTTTTTATGCCTTGGCTTCCTCATCAGGATGATGCGGCAAATGATGGTATTATCTCATAGACTTATTACAAGTAGTAAATGAGATAATATATATAAAGCACTTGAACAATTCTTGATATAATATGTTAACCACTCCATAATTGTTCTAATTATTTTTGGATATTATGCATATTTTTCATTGCTTCTGTTCCATCTTTTAGTTTATTTATTGTGAAATATATACATTCCAAACAGTGTATCAAATATATATATAATTTAGAGAATAATAATCATGTGAATACTTAATTACCCACCACACAGCTTAAGAACTAGATTATGCAAATACCATACAATCTCCTCACACTCCTTTCCTGTTTCATTCCACTCTTTTGTTTAAGAGTAACCATTATCCTGAATTTTACGTGAATAATAGTTTCTTTATTGTTATATAATCTTTGTAGATATCCCTAAACATTTGTATTCTTTATTTTGTCTGCTTTAGGACATTCTAAAGAGAATCATACCAAATATATATTCTCTGTGAGTGGCTTTTTGGAGAGTATAGTATTTTACATATTATTTTATTGACTTACTGGTACTGATGTGTGTAGCTAGAATTTTTTTTTTTTTTTTGAGACATGGTCTCTCTCTGTTGCCTAGGCTAGAGTGCAGTGATGTCATCATAGTTCATTGTGGCCTTGAACTCCTGGGCTCAAGTGATCCTCCTGCGTAGCTGGGACTACAGGCTTGTGCCACCATGCCCAGCTAATTTTTCTAATTTTTATAGAGATGGAGTCTTGCTATGTTGCTCAGGCCGGTCTCGTGCTCCTGGCCTCAAGCGATCCTCCCGCCTTGGCCTCCCCAAGTGCTAGGATTACAGGTGTGAGCCACCGTGCCTGGCCTGCAGCTAGAATTTATTCAGAGTCACTGTCATATAGTCTACCACTGTAGGGATAGACTACAATCTTTTTATTCATTCTTCTGTTGATAGCTACTCAGATTCTTTCCAGTTTTTTCCTCTAGTAACACATTAATGTATGTATCTTGTACACATGTGTATATCTAGTTTATATAAGCTGGTCCATAGGACATTTTAATGTTCAATTTTATTAGGCAATTCCAAGCTGTTTGCCAATGATTTTACCAATTTACACTCTCACCAGTAATGTATCAAAGCCCTTATTGTTCCACATCCTTATGAACAGTTGATACTGGCAAACTTTAAAAATTTGCCATTCGCTTAAGTATAAATTGTGTCTCATTATGACTTAGTTAACTTTTCTGATTACTAATGAGGTCGAGCATCTTATTTTATAAATATGATCCCTTTAGGTTTTCTCTTCCTTCCAATGCCCATTTATATCTTCAGTTTTCTTTGCAGTTGTCTTTTTCTTATTGATTATTAGGAATTTTTTAATATAGTCATACTACTCCTTTATTAGTTATGTACGTTATAGACATCTCCCAGCTTGTAGCTTGTCATTTTGCTTTCCTTAAGGTTTCTTATGCTATCGTACATTCTTAAATTGAATATAATGAAATTAATCATTTTTAGTAGTTAACATTTAATGTTCATATTTAATAGTCTTGTGTTTTTAAAATATCATGTTTCTTTTGTTTTTACATTTCAGTTCTACCTGAAATTATTTTATTCTGTAGTGTCAGGTAGGGACTTAAGACTTATTGTTTTCTTTATGAATGACTGGTTTACCCAGTATTGGTTAAATGGACTGTCTTTTCTTTAGTAACCTGCAGATTCTCTCTGGCATAAGTTAAGTTTTCAGATATGGTGGCATGTTTCTGGGCTGTCTTCTGTTCTGTCGATCCAGTTACCCATGCCTGTGCCATTACCACACTATCCTAATTACCGTAGCTTTGTATCATGACTCTTGGTAGCTGGTGGGGCAAACTTCCCACCTTGTTCTTTTTCAGGAGTGACTTTGCTGTTCTTGGCTCTTGGTTTTTGATATAAACTTTAGAGTCTGCTAGACAAAGTCTGCAAGAACTTGGTATTTTTATTGGAATTGTACCGAATATGCAGATCCCTCTGCGAAGATTTATATCTTTAGAATATTGAATTTCTCCTTTTATGTAGTTTTTTAAAAATGTCTTTCAGTAAAGTTTTATCATTTTCTCCATGAAAAGGATATTTATTAAATTATTTTATACTGTTTCTGCTATTGTTCAAATTTTTTTATAATTACATTTTCTGTTTTTTTCCCCTGTAGCAGTTTACTTTATCCAGCAACCTTATTAAACTCCCTTATTAACTGTGATACTTTGGTCTGTAGGTTCTTTCTTTTTTTTTTTTTTTTTATTTTTTTTGGAGACAGAGTCTCACTCTGTTGCCCAGGCTAGAGTGCCATCATGTCTCACAGCAACCTCAAACTCACGGGCTCGAGTGATCCTCCTGCTTCAGCCTCCCGAGTAGCTGGAACTACAGGCGTGTGCCACCACGCCCAGCTAATTTTTCTATTTTTAGTAGAGACGGGGTCCTGCTCTTGCTCAGACTGGTCTCGAACTCCTGAACTCAAGGGATCCTCCTGCCTCGGCTTCCCGGAGTGCTAGGATTATAGGCATGAGCCACTATGCCCGGCATGGTTATTTTTTGATTTTCTATAAATAATGACAGTTCTATTTCTTCCTTTCTAATCCTTATGCTTCTTGATTAATTTTTTCATTGGCTATGACTCCTAGCATGTGGTTAGATTGGAATATTATTGGTGTACATCCATGTCTTTTTTTCTAATCTTAAAGAGAATTTTTTTTCACGATTAAGTAAGATCTTTTTTGTAGGTTTTGTTTTTGACATCTTTTCGTTACCTTCCCACTAGTAGAATCTCACATTTTGTTCTGAGGAGAAGAAATGAACAGGACAATAAATACTTTTATTTCTAGAGCCCATCCCCATGCTTGCTACGTTATAACTATCAATTTGTTAACTGAATGAATGAATATAGTAGGACTACTTGAGCCTTATGGTTTTCATTGATCTCTCTTTTATGTGGTATATTCAAAAATGCTTAATTAAATCTTTATCTTAGAGAAAGAGTCAAAGTTACTAATGTTTGTATCACATTGCTAATGCTCTAGGAGAGGATGTTGAATTTTATGATTTAAATACAAATATTTGGAGATAGATCATATTTCCTCTGTTTCTCATGGCAGTAATGCTTATAATATTATGAACTAAGTAAGGATCAGCTTAAACTCTGAAGCTGAATTTTAGGCTAAGTTTCCTGAGAGAGATATATTCTGTTTGAGAACTTTATTTTTATCTATTCATATTTTTTATAAGCACCATTTTAACCTAGATGAGGTTTATAAATTTAGTACTGTAATGGTACTGCAGAATTTCTGATCAAAGCCTGAACATGAGCAATTTATATGATACTAATAACAAGTTAGTTTGTAAAGTCTCCTCTATAATTCAGATTAGACCCCTTCTGCTTTTCTGCCTTTCCCTGTACCTGGTTTTTTTTCTTTTTAACAGATGGGGAAATTAAGGCAGAAAGGTAGAGATTCCCTGAATTTGGTGTATTGCTTACTGCAGTAGACCACTTTGCTTCTGTGAGAATTATAAACTACTGTACTTTCCAGGTATGTGCTGAAATCTCCATTGCTGAAAACCTGCAAGTCTTGCTAATAAAGAAAACTCTTACTCAGCCATTTTATATGTTTAGCTATATTTAGAACATCTATAGCTTGGCTAAAAGTTTTACTACGGAATTTGTAGAGAAGAGAGAAGTACAGACATTTTGCTAGATGATTTTTTTTTTTTTTTTATAAAAGCAGCTGTCCATTTTTTCCATCATCTCTTTTGTTCCTTTGATAGCTCATTTCTTCCTACCCAGTGTTGACCGTTGACCATTAACCATTAGTTTTAGATCCTTGTTTCTCAACTGGGGGTGATTTTGCCCCCCTAGGGAATTTGGCAATGTCTGGAGACATTTTTTTTGATTGTCGTAACTTGAGGGAATGCTGTTGCTACCTAGTGTGCAAAGGCCAGGGATGCTGCTAGCCATCCTACAATGCACAGGACAGTCTTCCACGATCAAGAATTAGGTGGCCCCAAAATGTCAGTAGTGCTGTGGTTAAAAATCCCTGTTCTAGATAATGGCCTTTACTTTTGTTTTTGAATTGGAAAGAGAACTTCAGTGCCCATTTGGTGTAAGGTAGTATAGTTTCTTAGAAAGAACATGGACTTTAAAGTTTCATAGACCTGGTTTTCAAAACCTTATCTCAGTCCATGCTGGTTATGAGTACCTACATTTAGGTGTGTGGGAAAAAAAAAAGGAAAGGAAGAACAGATATAACACATTGTAGAGTGCTGACAAGTATTGTTTGTTTCCTCCCCTCCCATCTGAACTCGATATGCCAATGACTCAGTTTATGTTGTTTACTCTTCTGACACCTTAGGCAAGTTTTTAGACCTTTTGATTTTTAATTTTTTCATCTATAAAATGAGAATACTAGTACTTATATCATAGATTTTAGGAAAGATTTCATCAGAAAATGCAAGTAAAGCACATACTGCTATGATTGAAATATAACAGGTACTTAGTAAATATTTGTTTTCATTTATTAATAATAACTTTATGTTCATATTGTAATCATTTGGACTTGCTATCAGAAGTGATGTATAAAACTAGGCAAGATTGTCTATCAACTGACAAATGTGGTCTCGCCATACAGTGGGATATTATTTGACCATAAAAAGGAATGAATGCATGCTACAACATGGATAAACCTTGAAAACATTATGCTAAGTGGAAGAAGCCAGTCCCAAAAGATCACATACTATATAATTCCATTTATATGAAATGTTCAGAATAGGCAAATCTATAGAGCCAGAAGGTAGAATAGTGGTTGTCTAGGGCTGGGGAGGATGGAAAGGGTAGGGGAGTAATAGCTAAAGGGGTTTGTTTTTGAGGTGATACAAATGTCCTAAAATTGGCTATGGTGATGGTTTTATAACTTTATGAATATACTAAAAACCATTGAATTGTACAGTTTAAGTGGGTGAATTTATGGTATGTGAATCATGTATCAATAAAGCTGATAGTGTAAACTAAGCAAGATGAGGGCTCTCTGTCCTTTCTCTGGTGTTGAGTATTTTATTTCTTAATCCCTCACCCTTCATTTTCTGATTTCTGTGGATCTCACTTAGAGGATATATTCTAGTGGAGATAACAGTAATATTACTGGTTATTACTCACTACGAATGCAGTGTGGTGATAGCTGCCTCTGTATACACATTGAAGATTTTTCCAGTTTAGAAAAATTTCTCATTCTGGCCTGTATAGCTTCTATGAGTTAACACCAAACAACTCACAGACTTGAACATACTCTACATTTCTCACACATGGGCATGTGTGTAGAGAATTGGCCATTACATTTGTAACCGAGTTCCAATATGCTTTATTTTTATAAATGGATAGCAAGTTAGAAAGCTAATTTTCCTTATTGAACATTAGCTAGCTAACTATAGCCAATGGCCTAGAGTTAAGAGCCCATTAAGTAAATAGGGACATTATAGTTATGAGGCCATTCATAATAAAAACATGCTAGAATTGAAACTACTATAATAATAAATACTTAAATGGAAGGTATGCTTTCAAGCAAATTATATTTTGCTTATATCTTTTGATTGCGGGGGTCATAATACCTCACCTAAACAGGCTCGAGGGAATTTACTGCTCATATTACTATAAAGGCTGCATGTGAGAGATGTCTTCAGATGTATCAGCATGCAGAGTTTCATACATTTGCTGTATGTCCTGGCTTCCCTTCTATTAGCCATGCTCTGCTCTTTTATATTAGTTGGCTTCTTAGGCAGGCTGTCCCTTATGGTTGTAAGATGGCTGCAGCAGCTCTGGGCTTACGTCTCTACTTAAGGCTAGCAGATACAAGACATTTTCTCTCTCAGCAATAGGCCTCTCCTGGCCTGATTCATTCTAGTCTGAGTTGGGCCATGTACTTGTTGTAGAACTAATCTCAATAGCCAGAAGAATGAGATGTGCGGATTGACATTGGCCAGTTAAGTCTACCTGTAAACTTGAGGATGGAGTTAACATTACCCAAAACCCTGTGATAATTTGGGATGAGGTGGTTTACCAGAAGAATTTTGGGTTGCTTTTTTTGTTAGCCAGGAGGTTAAACTGGATACTGGATGGCTAGTTTTTACCTACTATAATGTCCAGAAATATACTAGAACTTTTATCCTGAGAATAATAGCTAAAAATTTTATTGAGTACTTAATGTTTGTGCCAGGAAGAATAATTTAAAAATACTTTGGGCAAAAAATAGGATTATGGGTTGTTGTAAGAGTTGTTTTCCTAAGGAAACTTATTATATGGCATTTTCTACGTTTTTTGAAATTTGGTGTGATTTTCTTTTCCCCAGTTTTAGCTTCCTGTTATCCGTAAGTACCATATATGGGCTTCCCCAGCTCTTTAAATATAGTACTTTTCTCTCTTTTGTCTTTCCATATTGCTACTGCATAGCATCGTTTTACTTTTTTACCTTATGCCTTCTAACTCAGCACACACAAATCTAAAATCGTAGGTTTCCAGTTCTGTAAAACAATTTAGTATCCCAGTTAAATTCTACTTACTTAAATAATACAGATACAGACAGCTTGACCAGGATGACTGTTCTCTTGTATGTTCATCATTGTGTCATGCAGTTTAGTCAGACTGATCTCTTGGAGAGATCAGTTAATGGTATATCTGATTACTTTCTGTGTTTACAATTGACCAATTTCTCTTTGCTCTTGGGGAAAAAAAAGCAAATATTTCTTTGCAAGAGTGGTTTTATGGCACATATAATATATTTAGTATGCTATAATTGTAAATAAGACCAGTTTCTAATGTTGGATTGGATGTAGACGCTTTGAGATTAGAGAGTTGTAAATATTTTCAAGTAGTGATGTGGTTGTAAAATAGTTGCCATTACCAGACTTTTAAATGAAGAATGATCATTCTTTCCTTTTGCTTTTTTTGTTCCTTGCTCCATTAAAAATCAGAACCTTTTGGTTTTATAGAAAAAAGCATAATAATAATATAAATAAATATAAGTATAAAGTATAAAATAATATAAATAATAAACAACAAAAAAGCATGGTGTCAGAACAATGATAGTTACTGTCTCTTTCTCATTTTTTTTCCCCACAGTGATCCTGGTGGAGGGATTGAAATGTCTGAGTTCATTCGAGAGGCCACACCGCCAGTTGGTTGCAGTTCAAGAAATTCTTATGCGGGTCTGGATCCAAGCAACCAGGTAGGAACCTGAGCTCTTCTATTTTACCTTTTTCCCTTCCTCCTGATGGTGGTCTCAGTTATTCTTATGTCTGTAATAGTCAGCTGGTGTTTTATTTTATCTTTCTGATTATTTTTTTGATTGTTTATTAATAACATCTTTTATTAACATTCTTTTAAAGTGACTTTTCACATTAATTAATTACGTGTTTGTTGAGCATGTACCACATGCTCATTTTTAGGTATATAGTTTTGATCAAGACAGTTGTGGTGAATACCCTTAGGAGATTTAGTTTCTAGCTTGCGCCACCTTACTTACCTCCGCATCATCTGTATTGGAGAGGTATGGATGTCTGTGGTTATCCCTAGTTCAAACACAGCAAAAAATGAAATAACTAGCTCAAAATCTCACAGTGTTCAAGTTGTTAATGATAAGAGCTAAAAGTAGAATACAAATCTACTTTTGCCAACTTTAAGGTCTTTCTGCTCTGTAACTTTTACTTTTAACGTAAAACAGTAGCTCTGAAAGTATTATCTCAAAACCTGGCTGAAGCCTGGAGTCTCATTCTGTCTAACCTCGGCTGGGCCTTTGCTGCCACAGATCTCTTACTCATCCTCAGCATCTCCTACACAAATCAGAGTCCCGGTTACTCCTGCTTGCCGTCTCAGCAGATGTCTTTACTAGGTTGAGTAAAATTCTATAAGCATAAGATAGTAAACTTTGTGAGAACCTTTAAAGGTCTTTTCTCAGTAGAACTTTATAAACTGTGGATTTTAGTGGTCATTATGTCAGCCCTTCATTATGTAGAAGAAGAAATAGCTGATTAATATCAAGGTCTAAGCTAGATCTCACTTCTCACTTCAGCTTTCCTATTGTTATACTCCTCAGCTTGTGGATTGAAACCTCCTTTCTGTTCTAGAGAGAGACTTAATCCTCTTTATTTTCTGGCCTAACTCTAGCCCATCTTGTAACTACCCCCTATTTCTCAAGATTTTTTCAAAGACCTCATGATGTTGACCCTTTCTCTTGCACTTACTTATGCTATTATGGAGCACTTATTTATAGTACTTATTTTAGTGCTCAGTTTCTGGTGTATGATATGTGGCAGTTTATAAGCCTCTACAGAGTAGGTTTTCTTCTTTTTTCCGCTTTCTAATATACTGCCTTGTGTACAGTTCACTTTTAATTAATGGTTACTAATTATCTTCATGTGTATAGGTAATAGAACTTTAGAGAGAGAGTCAGCCCTGGCTCCTCATTTAATGAAAGAGTAAGTAGCACACATAAATTCCGCTAACTATCCCATAGTGTTCTACTCTTCTGCATTGGTAGCCCTATATTAGCTAAGAACAATACGGTGGAAAACACCATAGTCTATGAATCAAAATCTTGAACAGGATTTTGTTTCCTAATATATTTCGATAGAAGATTTGCCTCTATTTGAATTGCATTTTCATGATTTGAAGTTGAAGTGAAAGAATTTTTGGTAACAGTTTTAGTTGTGATTTAGTATATAGAACAAGCAGGTCCTTAAATTTGTCTTCCTTCCGTAAAAAACTGATGAAATGGGAGGTGTCCGAATTTAGAAGAAAAAAATATTGTGAATGGGGCTGTGACATACTAATTAGATTGATACTTTTTAAGTTTCAAATTTTACGATGCCCGTTTGAAGAAAAGTGTTACTATCCTTGATCCTGTTTTTTGTTGGCTTTGTGCTTTTCCAATATCTTTTTGTAGAATAAAATGACTCAATTGTTGAACACGGCTGTGTGTTTTATATTTCTAATTAACCCTGGCTTTCATATTGACAAATGTAGGCAGTGTCAGATTACCCCGACGCATAAGGCTACATTTTTCCAGTAAGTTTTTGAAAAGCCACACCTTTTTTTGATTTTTGTAGTGGGACAGGTGAAGAGTATAGCAGTGGCCACCTTTGGATACTCTGCCCTTGGCATTGTGTCTGTTGGAATTTGCCCTGTTTGTTTTCGGGAGGGAGTCCCTTCTTGAATGTAATTAAAGCATATGTGCACACAGCATACCTTTTCCTTAAAATGGAAACTTTTTACCTAAAATAATAATTTTTAAATAAAAATCGGCCAATATTACAGATTGTGCTACTAGGATTGTAGTGTTTTCATTTTATACTGTTTACAGCAAGTTAAAAGGTTGACATCATTATTGTTACCCTTTAGCTGAGGGGAAGAAGTAGAGTCAGGCTTTTTGTATATTGGTGGAGATATTATCAGTGTAGATGTACTGTTGTTCCTTGCACATACTTTGTTGTCACACATTATCATGGTTGTTTATGTAAATGTCTTCTGTGTTAAACAATGGACTCATGGACCATAGTGGCTGCATCACAGTCATCGTTATTCTTTCTTTCTTGCCACCTCTACTGTCTCCCTTCCATCTTCTGCTCTCATTTCCCTTTCCTTTCTCTTTCCCCCCCTTTTTTTCTCTTGTCTTCTTCTCTTTCCTTTTGTTACTTGTCTACATTCAAATATTTTAGTGCCTGATAGTATTCAAGGCATTTTACTTAATCTAGGATGGGGAGTGGTCTTACCCTCAAAGAGATTGTGATTTCATAGTAGATATGATATAAGTAACCGGAGTTATAGATGTGATATCTATTACTAAGGAAATATAAGTGCAAGATGCGAAGTAATAATTGCCTTAGAAATGGTACAGAAGGGCTAATGATTTCAGAGGAGAAAATAATTATTTTCAGCTAAAGAGAAAGGCCAGGCTTTGTAGGGGAAGTAGCCTTGCCCAGTATGCTCTCTAGTTAGAAGTAACCTTTCTTCTCTGATATCCATCATCCATCCTGACCTTTCCTATGGCACTTTTCAAAGAGAAGAAACAGTGGAATGTTTTCGTTTATGCAAACTGCTTAAATAAATTTAACCCCCCAAGCGTAGGAAGATATTATTTTTTCTTAATTTTTTTAGAAAATTTAACAAATAACGGTAAACAAAAAGAAGAAAATTAAAATCATCCATAATGTAATAAAAAACTTTTCTAAAGAAAGTGGAATTATAGTGTGTATGCTGTTTGGAACTTGATTCTCTTTACCCAATGCATCATGAATGTTAATGTCATTAGGTGTTTTTCTAGTGACACTTTGAGGACTGCATTGCATTTGAATGTACTATAATTTATATTCTTGATCTTCTGTTTTTTCATATGCAAATAGTCACGATACTTAGATATTTTGGGGGGAAGCTTAAACAATACAGAAAAGTGTGAAGAGTAAAATTTAATTGCCCCATTGTATCCATTAAGAATGCTTTTTTTGGGGGGGGGCGGGGGACAGAGTCTTGCTCTGTTGCCCAGGCTAGAGTGCTATGGCATCAGCCTAGCTCACAGCAACCTCAAACTCCTGGGCTCTAGCGATCCTCCTGCCTCAGCCTCCCAAGTAGCTGGGACTACAGGTGCACGCCACGATGCCTAGCTAATTTTTCTATTTTTGGTAGAGACGGGGTCTCACTCTTGCTCAGGCTGATCTCGAACTCCTGAGTTCAAGTGATCCTCCCACCTTAGCCTCCCCAGAGTGCTAGGATTATAGGCATGAGCCACCACGCCCAGCCAAGAATGCTTTTGTCAGCAAGTAATAGAATACTCAATTAATAGTGACTTAAAGAGATAGGAGTTTGTCACCTAAATCTGGAGGTGATTGTTGAACAGTTCAGTAATGTCAGGGTTCTGGTTTGGTGTTTTCACAGTTCTGTAGGCTTTTCCCTCAGGGTTACAGGATGAGTACAGCAGCTTCAGTCATGACTGTTGAAAAGTTAGGAGGCAGGCAACAGTGTGGAGCAGAGAGATTTTCCTTGGATCACCTTCTTCACAGACATGAAAAGATCTTTGACTGGAGCCATCCAACATACTCTCCCATACATTCATTGACCGTAACTAGGTCATATACCTACCTCTGGACAGGGAACTGGGCCTACTTCTCATAGACCAAAAGATGTGTGTCCAATGTCTGAACAAAATAAGGAGCTTGTTAAGGAAGGAGAAAGAGAACACTTTGAGGTTGTGAGCAAATGATTACTATACCCATATTCAGAAAGTTCTGGTTTTTTTTTTTTTTCAAGTTTAAATTCTTAGAAGGGTGTGCATAAAATGGTATTTTTGTTTGTTTTTAAATTTCTATCCAGTAAATTATGTGTTTATAATTCTAGTAGAAGAATAACATGTGTTAGTTCCATAACTTGTGTAGCAGGTATGGTAAGAACAAAACTTTCGTTTTCAGTAAAATGCTTTTTGGCCTTTTTCATTCTGGCTAACTGCAGTGCCTTTCATAGCTAATTGAAAGCAGAAATTAGGAAAAACTGGGAGAATCAAGCTTAATAAATAGCTAAAAAATATTACAAAGCCTATTTTTTGTTGGCTACATCAAGAGTTTATTGGTAGTTTCAATCCATATCTGTCTGCTTGTTTTATTTACTTTTTTCACTGGCGTATAACTTATACAGCATTGTACACATCTTAAGTTTGTAGCTCAGGGACTTTTTACATCTGTGTACATCCATTGAGTTGCCATCCAGATCGAGAAAGTCCCTCATGCCTGTGTTTTGAGCTGATGTCTTGTCATATACTCCTATTTTAATTGAATCAATGAAAAAGAAGACTTGGTAAAATATAAAGTGTAATACGGATAGTCTTAATTTTACTTTACAAGGGTAAATTTGCTTGAGTGGGTTCTTTGAATCCTATGATAACAGGTTATAGGAGGAGTTGCTAAGACTTGTTGATTTAGTAACTGTCATGTTGTTATGTTTGGTTTCCCTAATTTGTTTGTGGAAGTTGCAGTATTTGTGTGATTTTTAGGGTAGTATTAATAAATAATGGCTCTGAAATTTTAGGGAAGTATTATACCATCTTGACTATAAGCACTAAAAGCTCCACAATCAGATTTTAGTTTTCTATCTATAGTTAGTGCTAAAAATTCATTTTTTTGTGGGTGCTTTAGATTTTTATTCTTTTTAAATTTTCTGTCTACAAAGAACTATTTACTTTTTGTCTGGAACTAAGGAAAATATATAATGATACACTAACAATCTGACAGTAAGATTTATGTTGCTCTTTGTAGCATATGCTAATATGTTTCGTCCCCCAAACTTTCCCTTTATGTACCCTGAGAAGTCTAAATTTAGTTCAGTTGGACATAACACCTGGGTTTGCTGTTGTTTGTAACATGAGCATGTCATGATGCAATGTAAAAAATGACAATAATTGTATGACATGAGTTGCTTGAGGTTGGAGGCATTTGGCCTTTAGGGCTCCTTCATTCCTGAGCATGCAGAGGGATTCAGTGTCTCAGCACATCCGTAAGATGTACGCAGCATGTGCCACAGCAAACAGGTTGTATGGCTCTAATAGAACGTGGCCAAAGCGTCTGTTAATATTGATAAAAGTGACTGATAGTATGTTTGATACGATAATTTTGATGACATATACTTAGCATTTTAATTCATTTTATTTACTCATGTCCTGTTTTCAGATTGGATCTGGCTCCTCTCGTCTTGGAACAGCAGCAACTATTAAAGGTAGACGTAATCGAATTTAAAAGTTGCTTCTGACTTTCCATTTCATTTTTGGTTGTAATAAAGATAGGTACTATACATTTAAATGTCAGGAAAAATCATTCTTGAAATTATTTTATAGATAAGATTGTATATCTTATTAATGGTTTGAATTAAATTATATTCATCTTTCATCATCCAAATTTCTCAAAAGCATTTTACCATTTGTGTTATATTCCATGAATTATAAGTTTTGATCTATAAGAAATTTTCTTGCCTTGAGGGAAAATACTTTTGTGAGTTTTGGTGGGGTTCATGATAAATGAAGTACCTTGATGTGAAACCTTTAAATGTGGGTATAGATGAGACACTAACAAAAGGGAAAGTTATTTTCTGTCATTGGTTCTATACATCTACTTCAGATGTATAGAACATATAATAAATATGTAATAAATAAATTCTTCTTATTTTTACCCTATAATTTTTTAGCTTGCTAATTTTCCCTGGGAGGGAAATTTACATTGTTTCAAGCTATTGCACAATTTGCATTTCTTTTTAAAATCTACTTATTTTTAAAGAAACAGTTTTGTTAGCTATATTATGCAGCTTTCCATATTATATGATTTGTAGTTCTTTGAGAATAATTATGTTCTCTGACAGTCCATGATACTTCTTATTAGTTCATTGCTTCTACTACTGTAATCCTTCGTACACAAAACTGCTTTAGTTGATAGATATCTACCATATACTTTGATGTCCTTCCTTGGTTATGCCACATTACAGCCTTTACTTTTAATATAGGGGCCTCACATGTTTCTCTTAACTTTTTAGGAGATACAGACACTGCTAAGACTTCTGATGATATCAGTTTAAGTCTGGGCCAGAGCTCTAGTCTTTGTAAGGAAGGAAGTGAAGAACAAGGTAAGAACATTCATTATACTTCACAGTGATGTTGTATATTATGGTGACCTGAGTGAATTTGTGGAATATACTGCTCACAATTTGGCAGAAGTTGATAATAATTTATTATGGTATTTTTAGGAAATGTTAATATAAAATGTTACTGTAATAATAGTAATAAAGCATTATAAGTGCTTTTAGCTTATGGGAGTTCAGTTATACATATTCTGCCAAATAAACGTAGTACCTTCCTGTAGCAGATTGTTGATAGAAATTTTGGCTATATGTGAATTTTTTTTTTCTTCTTATTCAGCTCCATTACAAATGAATATTTTGTTTTTTACTGAGTTTTTTAACCTACCACATTTTCATGTTTGATGTTTAATTTTCAAACATACAAAGACAACTATGTCATCCCTATTTTCAAATGGAATTGTCCAAGGTTATATAATCAATGAGCCATAACTGGATTAGAAACCTGGCTTCTATTTCCATCCAATTATAACCCTGTTATTTTTATTTTTATTAACCTATGGGTGATATTTGGGCAGACAGGCTGATAAATTTCCTATTTTTAATTATGAAACTTGTTTATTATGAGGCTACAAATATATCACTAAATTATGACATTTGTCCATTAATTTAATATTTTACCCAGGTTTATTTCCTTTTTTCTTTTTTTTCTTTTTTTAATTTCCTTTACCGAACAACCCATTCCAAATGAACCAGGTTCATTTCTTATAAGCATATTTTGTTACTGTTATTTGGAATTTTAAGTTTTTAACTTTTTTTTTTAAATTATAGTACGCTATCATTGTTTATTTGCTTTTATGGACTACCCCTTCCAACCCTACCAACCCCCAAAACCGAAAAGACTTCTAAACATACAGTATGTAGTATGGTGTAGATACTTTTTTAAAAATGAAAGGTAAATCAATTACTTTGAGAATTACAGTATCATTTTCTATAATGTATGTGACCATTAGTGTATCTCAACAACTAGATAATAACCTTAGAGGGATTGGTGCCACTGCATTTAGAGGGTCATATATGTCTTTATCGTCTTTTGTGTCTGGAAAGTACCATGGGCAAGCAAGATTTTTATAGTGTGGCAGGTTGGGAATTATATACACACAAATCTACCCTTGCAGCTATGTAGTAACATAGATCATGATGTCTGACATTCACTGACTGCATAGTGTTGTCCAAGTTCAGGGTCAGCATACTTTTTCTGTAAAGGGCCAGATAGCTTTGTAGGCCATATGGTCTCTCTTGCTACTCATCTACTCAACTCTGCCTTTGTAGAGTGAAAGGAACCATAAAAATACATAAATGAGTGGGATGGCTGTGCTACACTAAAGCTTCATTTACAAAAACAAATAGAGGACAGGATTTGGCTCCATGGGCCTTCATTTGTAACCCTTGGTTGAAGTTCTCTTCTAAGCACTTTATATGCATTTGTCCAGTTAATATTCACTATAAGCATTTGAAGTGGATACTGTTACTATTCTCACTTTACAAATGAGCATATTATGTCTTAAGAAAGCAGTTATAAGAAACTTGCCCAAAGTCACATAGTTACAAAGTGGCAGTCCTATAATCCAGATCTAGTTTGAATTATAGGACCTGTACTATATTCCTTTGTATATCTATAGAAATAATCTATGTTACACTCCTTTCATATAGTTTTATAATTTCCCTTTATTACGTAACATTTTCCATGTTTTTAACATTTAACAAATATTGAGTATTCATCATGTTTATGATACTGTTTTAAGTACTGGAAAAAAAGATCAGCAAACAAAAATTTCTACCCTCTTGTGGCTTCCATACTATTAGTATGGAATCATACTAGTGTAAGTCTATATATGGATAAATAGAGACAGAGGATAGGGGGTGGTGGGGGCTGGAGAAATTGTAATTTTGCAGAGTGAGAACAAAGAGCTGAAGCAGGAGAAATGAGCTGTCAGGATATCTGAGGAGGGAGGGATTCCCTCCATGCAGAGGAAACAGCAAGAGCAAAAGCCCTAAAGTGGGAACATGCCTGCAGGTTTGAGAAATAATGTGGCTGGTGCGGAGTAAGTGAGGGGCCAAACTGTATAGAGTCTCATAAACCATTTTAAAGGTGCTTGTTTAATTTTGAGTGAGATGGTTTGTGTTATGTTTTAACAAAATCACTCTCGCCTCCTGTGTTGAGGAATATGTTAAAAGGGACAAAAGATAAGGCAGGAAACTCAGCAGATCATTGCAATAATCCAGGGCATAGATCATGGTAGCGAGAAGTGGTGAGATGGGGGGGGGAGAGAGAGAGAGAGAGTGTGTGTGTGTGTGTGTGTGTGTGTGTAAGATATTAATAAGAGGATGTGTTGATGAATTTGCGTGTTATATATGAAAGAAATAGTAGTCATGGATGACTCTAAGCCTTTTGGGTTAAGTGGCTGGGAGGATGAAGTACCCGTTAACTGAAAGGGGGAAGACTGAGGAGGAGCAGATTTGGGGAGGTAAGAGAGGGAGTTCAGTTGGGACATCTCTGATACGAGGGGCTGTTAGACCTGTAAGTGGCATGAGTAGATGGGTCTGGATTTCAGGTGAGAGGTCAGGGTTGGAGTTTTAAATTTAGGAGTTGTCAGCGCATAAATACCAAAAAAAAAAAAAGTAGTCAAATCATGTCAAATATGGGGGTTGGGTTATTATAAAGTTCGTAAACTAACTGGGTGAGCCTGCTTGGGGTTTGCGTTGCCTGGCTTCCTAATCCAAATCCTTCCTGGCTATGGTTTGGCACCACCTAGTGGCAAGTGTTTGTTCTGCCTTAAATACCATTTGAGACTGGTTTGCTGGCTGGTTTGGATTTATAGGACAGTGACCTTTAGTTAGGAGGTTAGCAGTTAGTTGATTAGTTGACGCTCATTTTGTCACATGATTCAGGATGACTGGAAGAAAACTGAGGATGTATGTGTGGGGGTGTTCTCTATTATTTCACTTCTAAGAAGGGGTCATCTACAATTTCCCTGCCTAGCCTCACTCATGTCTTCTTATCTGAGATTAGAACTTTAGATCATCCCCATATGAGTACAGGGGCTGGGTAGAAGATGGAGGAACTACTAGTTACAGGTATTTCTGAATTTTAGTTATTGCGGGGACAGAAAACTGGATGATATCTACAAAGAGGAAGTGTAGATAGAAAAATGAAAAGCCTTAAGGACTGAACCCTGAACCCCTCCAGTTTAAGAAGTCCAGGAGACTACGTAGGAATAACTAATGAAATAGAAGGAAAAGTAAGATTGTTATATCCCTGTGTTTCAAAGAGAATGGATTGATCAGCTTTGTCAAATGCTGCTAATTGGTCAAGGGACGTGAGGACGGAGACTTGACCATTGGATTTAATAATGTAGAGGGAGTTGGTGACCTCGATAAGCAGTCTTAATGGAGTGGGTTTGGAATCTGCTTAAGAGGGAACTGGAGAAGGAGAATCGAAGACAGTGAATATAAACTTTTAGTGAATTTTTATAAAGGGGACAGAGACTTAATGTGATAACTAGCAGGGGAATTAAGGATAAGGGAGGGATTTGGATTTTGTAAGATGTCGTAAGGGAAATAATAGCATGTTTGTGTAATTGTTGGGGACGATCCAGAAGAGAGGAGGAAAATAATGATTTTTGTTTATGAAAGTAGTGTATGTTAACTTTAAAACATGTAGTTTAAGTGTGAAGAAAAATAATTTGTACTTCTATCACAAGAAACTGTTGTTAATTTTTTTGGTGTTTCACTTTTTTTGTATTTTTTAATTGCAGTATAATTCAGTGGTTTTTAATCCATTCACAAGGTTGTACACCCATCACCGCTATCTAATTCCAGAACATTTTCTTCACTCCAAAAAGAAACCTGTACCCCTTACAAATCCCCATTTCCTCCTTCAACCAGCCCCTGATAACTACTAGTTTACTTTTTATCTCTATGCATTTGCCTATTCTGGACATTTCATATAAATGGAATTATATATTATGTGTTTTTAGTGTCTGGCTTCTTTTACTTACCATATTATAGCATGTGTTAGGACTTTATATTTTTGTGGCTGGCTATGGTAAATCACTTTTAACATTTGTAGAAACATATGCACATATGCATTCTTTTTTTTTGTCCCTCAAATATGATTTATTCAGCAATCATAGTAGGAAATACAGAGAATTACAGCATATTAAAAGCACAAGAATTGTAGATATTATGTTAACAATTAAATGAAAAAGGCTCTGGTTAAATGGAAAGACAAATGAACTTGCAAGATATATGTGTTGAGTAGCTGAGGATAAAAGTACAAAACGGGACATGGGAAGATTCGCAAAAGGGATGGGCACAGATAACCTCCACTCTGACGTCCTACTAATTAGTGCTAAGTAGTCTTAGAAAGAAAAGAAAGGAATGTGAAACATTAAAAGAAATAAGGAGAGAAGTAGGGAGTGCAGGGAATAGAAAGAGAGAGGGAGATTAGGAAAATAGGTATATAAAGCAGTATGACAACTTTTCTGAAAAAGTGAAGTATCTTTTCTCCATTCCCTCTGGAAGTTTGGTCACAGTGCTTTATAAGTCACGTAACCTGGAAAATTAGTTTAAGGCCCATGTACAGAAATTTGATGAATTCTTTGCTTTCCCCTACTTTTTTAAATAACAAAGTCTATAGATCTTAAAGTACTAATAGGAGCATAGTGGCTGTGTTTCCTGTGACATATAAGAAGCAGTGTTTCAATTTACTTCTCCTTGGAGAGATTCTGTAGTTTTACTGAAAGACAGCTGACTTAAATAGGAACAATTGTAATTAGATTTCCCAGATAGTCAGATTCTATTTTAAATGCAGAATATTTTCTAGCTGGTAAATAGCTCATTTTAAAAAGACATTAAAAGCAGTAGTTACAGTTTCTCCATAAATGGAAATGAAAGTCCACTTTTAAAGGACCAGAAGTCAACATGATTTATGTGTCTATAAATGTTTTCCCCCAGCACATTATTGTAGATCAATTGTTACTGCTTACATTTAAAATATCAATTGCATTGTAATGTCTGTGATACAATTCAGTTATTTAGCTGTGTTCCACGCAAGATTCAGGTAAAACTTAAGGTAATGACCTTATTCACAGAACATGTTTTATTTTTATTTTTTGAGATGAGGTCTCTATTGTCTGGGGTAGAGTACAGTGGCGTGATCCTCTGTAGCTCACTGCAGCTTCAAACTCCTGGGCTCAAGTGATCTCCTGTGTCAGCCTCCCAAATAGCTGGTACTATAAGCACATGCCACCACACCTGGCTAATTCATGGAACATTTTTAAAAGAGTCTACACACAGCTATATCTTAAATTACAGTCATACATACTAAGTTTGCATATAGAATATGGCTTACACATCAAAAGAGATCTAAGTTGTGAGTTATAAAATCTCACTACTTGGGCTTAACTTCTGATCGTATCCATTTCTAAAATATTACTTCCCATTGTGGAACCCAGGAAAGAAGCAAATGCAACAGAAAACTTGTTAGGATGGATGGATCCTCCTTCATGTCATTTAATTGAAGACTACTCTTCTTGATTCTTTTCACAAAGACAAATTCACTGAAGCTCACAAACATTAAAATGTTTGTACAGTGAAAACTTACAACACCTAATTGTGCTTGACCTTTCTTGTCAGCTAATAACAAAAAAGGTAGTTCTTCAGTTTGGAGCAAAGGAAATGCTTTGCACTTGCCTAGTCAAAACATTTCAAGGAAGCAGGGCCTTTGAGGGTTGCAGTTTGTTTTTGTGTGGTAAAATTTAAAAGTCACATCACATAATGTTATCTGTACAGAAAAGGGTGGGCTTCCATTTTCATAGACATTTTTCAACACACATGCACGTACTTCTTGTTTCTTATACCTTGGCTTGTAATATATTTTGTTACATCTTGATAGGATGAACACCCCAAAAGGAAAATTCCATATCCCATTCTAGTGTCTGTCTTCACCGATGGCTGACAGTCTGTTTTCATGGACTGTAGGTACCGTGTGCCCTGCATTGTGGCCACACCCATGGAGGTGACACATGAGTGCTTTGACACCACAGGAAGGGTGCAGGTTCACCCACTGGGTTCAGAGAAAGGTTTCACTGCCATTTCCCAGGATGAGAGTTACAGCGAGGTATTCATCAGGTCACTGCACCGCACTGCGATGCTCCATGTAGCCAGAGGACTTCAGCTTCTGAGCGGTCCCACCTTTCCCTCTGTTCTCATGCATTTGAAGTAAAGAAGGACGATCTAAGTAGCCTGTTACCCAGCACTGCAAAAAAATATTTTCCCCATAATTTTGTTTTTGCTTCCCTTTTATTTAAGACCTTGAGATATTTGAAGTTGTAACACTTTGTATAAGACGGTGCAAGAAAGTAAATTTAAAAAGGCTTCATCTTCTGCACATGTATTACACAGTCACTATGACTGGCTCAAAGTGAGGAAAATTTAAAATTGACTTTTGTCTTAAAAATGTATCTGGCTTAATTGAAGAAGGCCAAGTTGTGGAGGAAAAACAATGGCAGCAGCACTGGCTAAAAACAGCAACTTGAATGTATTTATTTGGCCAGAATTATTAGCTCAAAATTTATCTTCTTCTTAATTCCTTGTATAGACATCCACAAAAATGGCTTGATCCAATTAATACGTTGAAAAAGGAGATATAGCTTTGTGGGAAATTGAGGATTTAGGATGTTGTCATGCTGTTTTCATTATCCTCTCATGTTTAAAATGACAGAAGCCTTTAAGGTGTTTCACATCTATGGGTGTGTATCAGCATGTTTTTCTTCAGCATTTACTAAGTCTTCTGAGTTCTTATAAAGATCAGCTGCACCTTGTGCAGCTAACTCTTTCCACCTCTCTTTGTTCTGCTGAATGATGTCCACCAGGTTGTTTTTGAAGCTCTTCAGGTCCACTGCTGCAAGAGAGTGGTCTGGGAAATAGGCCCCATCACTGAGGCCACCTTTTGTATTTGATCGTCTTAGCACATCAGCAACGTGTATCCCCACAATGGTGGTTGAGCTAAGAACAACAACCAAAGAAACCAAAAAATACCAATATCGCGATATGAGATGGGTGAGAAAAACCTGAATAACTTTATAAAACTGACTGGAGAAGCCCAGGCCCAGTTTCAAGCACATGCTCACCTCCCATCTTTTCCTCCGTGCAGGGAGAGAGGGCCGGATACTCCTTGGCACACTTCTTAGTCCCTTAGCATTCTTTTTAACTTGCAGAACTGGAATTATACTTTTTATACAGTGCTACCTTTTTTACTTGTTTTCTCATATTATTATGTGGTCTTTAAAAATGTTTTTAGTGCCTTTATGAAATTATTAATAGAGTACATATTTTATTCAACCATTTTTTATTGGACATTGTTATCCTTTTTGTATTTTAAGAACTTTTGTAATAACCTGAGATGAACAACTTTGTGCTAAAACCTTATACACATATTTGATTTTATCCTTTAGCAACAATTTCTAGAAATAGATTACTGATCAAAGGGTAAGAATACTTTTTCAAGGTTTTTGGCCATATCACCAGACTGCTTTGTGGAAGGTTACACCAGTTTGCACCACCTTCGTATGTGAGTGTGCCTTTCTTATCCTAAACACCACTAATAACAATTACTGAAAAAAAGTTTAATTAGATAAAAAATAGTATCTCTGTGTGTTGATTAGAGCCTCTTAACTTTGATATAGTCTTTGACTCTATTGGTATGAGTAAGAAAAAATGTGTAAGAAAGTATATTTACTTGAAAATTTCCTAAAACCACCTAAAATACTTCCTGACAAAATTAAACCTTTTATGGTATATTTGTTTAGCACCATTGAAAAAATACATGTTTTAAGTTTGGCTGTATCTTTTAAAATGAAAAACTTAAATTTCTGCTTTTTAAATGCCTTGGAGTGGTTTTGATCATTAGCATTTTTTAAATATTATGTATTAGATTTAGTGATTTTCAACTGCTTGTTTAGAATTGATAAGTTTTTATTCTGGAAAATTCATATCCTTGAAATATGACTAACATAACCATTCCATAATTGTTTATTAGAAATATATATTGAGAGTTTATAGAAATAACGTTATTATTTAATACTACAAAAAAGTAAATACAATGCTAACTTTTAAATTTTGATATTTAGAGGATATAAGAACCCAAGTACAGTGTCAGCCATTTGGGACAAATGACAAAGAATGTGGGTTTTACTTATCTTGAAAAGTTTAAAACATAAGAAAAAGCTTAATAGGTCATTTATAAATCACAGTTTACATAGTAGACTGTAGAGGCTGTCTCTGAGTTTTTAATTATTTAGATCTAATCTAGGTTTAAATTTTTTTAAAGTATATAAACATTTCTAGTAATTCATTTTGTTTTAATCTTAGGGGGAAATGTCTGCTTACATCATTAGGCTTCTATTGGGAAGAATCTGACTTACTATAGAATCTTTTATTGTGCTTTATGCAGCTATGACAAATAAGACAATAATTTTTCTTTTTATTAAACTAACAGCAGGTTCAACCACCCTTGTCTGTCAAAATGTGTATAAAAAAATCAGCTATTGTGCAGTTCGGTTGTCAAGCTATATTCCAAGATAAATTCCAATGTAGGTAGGTAGGTAGATAGATTTATTTATATCTGTATCTATATTTACATTTATATGCATAGTGTATATGATAAGTCACTAATCACTGCCCTGAACGATTAAAAGATATAGGAGGATAATGTGTTTTTATGAGGTATTTTGTAATTGCTTATTAATAATGAAAAAGAAAAAAATATACTATTTGCCCTGTAATTATTTTTGTTGTTGTTTTAACTGTTACAAACAGCAAGATGCCTTACATCATTATATCATCTCTTGTTTGGGCATTGATCAGCCTAGTTATTTATTTATTTTCTGATTCTGATTACTCTAGGTTTTTGTTGATTTATAAAATAATTCATATTAGTTTTTCGAAAGGATTTTAGTATTGTGTTAGTGAGGTGAAACAATGATAGCTATCATTAACTATGGCAGCTCTGTACCAAGCAGTATATGTTATTAATTCAGTTATGCCTTCCCTATGACTCAGTGAGGTGATACCACATTTTACAGATGAGGAAACCGAGGCTCACAGGGTAACCTGAGGTTAGAGATAGAGCTTGCATAGCAATCCAGGTCCATTTTAAATACAATCCTTTGTTGCCTCTTATTTTAATGTTGGTAGTCTACAGAACTTTTTCTGAGGCCAGTTGAAGAACTCAAAGATTTGGAAGTTCAGTTCATTCCATCAGTAGAATGCTTTCTTTGTGCAGCTGTGAAATAGAAACCAGCTCTTTGCAATGACTGGCCAACTCTTACTCAGTGAGCTGCTTGAGAAATTGTTTATACTTGATTTACTGTATGCAGTGAATTCTTTCCATTGTAAACAGTAGAAAAACAGATCATGCATTTGTGTTAACATTTCCAAATATGTGTTTGAAACAGATTTGGCAACTGATCGGAAGCTCTTTCGTCTGGTCTCCAATGACTCCTTCGTCTCCATTCAGCCTTCCTTATCCTCTTGTGGACAGGACTTACCAAAGGACGTCAGTGACAAAGTGAGCCTGCCAAGTCATAGCCACCACCACCACATTGATCAGTCTCTGTCCAATGCCTGTGACACAGAAGTAGCTTCTCTTGTACCTTTACATTCACACTCTTATAGGAAAGATCACCGGCCACGAGGTGTACCACGGACCTCTAGCTCTGCTGTGGCTTTTCCTGACACTTCACTGAATGACTTCCCTCTTTATCAGCAAAGACGTGGGTTAGATCCAGTTAGTGAGTTAGAATCTTCCAGACCTCATTCTGGATCCAAAGAATCCTTGGTGGAAAATTCTTGTTTATCTGGGGAATTTCAGCTTGCTGGTGACTTGAGAAAGAGTAATTCTCAGCCACCCACAAAAAGTGGGAAGAGCAAACCTCTGAAAGCAGACAAAAGCGTGGACAGCTTGAGGAGCCTGAGTACACGGAGTAGTGGGTCAACAGAGAGCTACTGCAGTGGGACAGACCGGGACACCAACAGTACTGTCAGCAGCTATAAAAGTGAGCAGACCAGCTCAACTCACATAGAGAGCATCTTGTCAGAGCACGAGGAGTCTCCTAAAGTAGGAATGAAGAGTGGCAGGAAAAAAGAGTGCTGCGCTGACCCAGAAGAGAAGAGTAGCTGTCCCAGTGACAAAAGGACTTGCAGTGAAAAGACTGTGGTGGAAGTGAGTGCAAACGGTGGGGCTCCCGAGGCCAAGGACTCCAACACCTCGGAAGAGATGCACAGCCAGAGGAAGCTGAGCACCTCTGCCTCTGAAGAAGCCAATACAAATCCCCATGCAAACGAGGTTACTTCCCAGGGGGACAGACCACATGCAAACACAGTGGAAAATAAAGAGGAGCAGAGTGATAAGTCAGCTGTTTCAGTGGATTCAAAAGTGTGTAAAGATGTTGGCGGAAAGCAAAAGGAAGGGGATGTCCGACCTAAATCTTCTAGTGTAATCCACCGGACAGCCTCTGCCCACAAGCCAGGCAGGAGACGGACAGGAAAAAAGCGGGCCAGCAGTTTTGATTCTAGTCGGCATAGGGACTATGTTTCCTTTCGAGGTGTTTCTGGTACCAAACCACATAGTGCTATATTTTGTCATGATGAGGACTCCAGTGATCAAAGTGACTTGAGTAGAGCATCAAGTGTTCAGTCTGCTCACCAGTTCAGCAGCGACAGCTCTTCTAGCACCACTTCTCATTCCTGTCAGTCTCCTGAGGGCAGGTACAGTGCTCTCAAGACCAAACATACTCATAAAGAAAGGGGAACTGACTCTGACCACACACACAAAGCTCATTTGGGTCCTGAAGGAACTGGCAAAAAGCGAGCAACACGTCGGACTTCCAGCACAAATAGTGCCAAGACTCGTGCCCGAGTGTTGAGCTTGGACAGTGGCACGGTAGCGTGTTTGAATGACTCAAACAGGCTAATGGCACCTGAGAGTATAAAACCCTTAACCACTTCCAAATCAGATCTTGAGGCCAAAGAGGGAGAGGTGCTAGATGAGCTATCTTTACTGGGACGGGCTTCCCAGTTAGAGACAGTCACTCGATCTAGGAATAGCTTGCCAAGCCAGGTTGCATTTCCTGAAGTGGAGGAGCAAGATGCAGTCAGTGGAGGTAAGTAAACTACAAAAAGAGATTTCCCCCAAGAGTCACTGCAATTTTTGGTACTATTTATTAGAGTAGTACTTGTTAAAATACTCCGTCTGTTAATATTCTACTTTCTACTATGTTATTAAAGTAAACTTTTTTCAATGGAGAAGAGGGTGGTTATCCTAGTAAAGGTTTTGGTATGAACACCAAGAAAAATTTTTTTTTTTTTTTTTTTCCTTTTTTTTGAGACAGTCTCACTCTGTTACCTGGGCTAGAATGCCATGGTGTCAGCCTAGCTCACGACAACCTCAGACTCCTGGGCTCAAGTGATCTTCCCTGCCTCAGCCTCTTGAGTAGCTGGGACTACAGGCATGTGCCACCATGCCTGAAGAAAATATTTTTTTGGTTGTAATATTTGAATATATCAATTTGTTCTTGATGGCATTCACTTTTCTAAGCCAGTTACCACCTGTTAATGTTTTGCCAGGAATAACAAAAATTATTCCTCTTATTTGTATAGCAATTGAACAACAAAATTTATAATTATATTAGAGCATCAAACCATTTTTAGTCATCTCCTATACACTGTGTGCCACTGAACTTTCAGAATTAGATCACTCAAGCTGTTATATAAGACTTTTTCCAAATATTACTTTAGCTCTGATTACATACTTTGAAAATTATGGCTCTTTTTTTTGTCTGTCTCTTTGGTTTTATATCTTGCTTATTCAAGTTTCAGACATTAAGAAAATTTTATTTTTTTCTATAACTTCACACTTTATTCTTAAAGTTTACTAAATCGAGGTTTGTTGTTTATATTGGCATTTTGTATCTATTCATTGATATATGGTGTCCCCTCTGATAACGTGCTGGTGTTTTGGTTAAAGGGATAGCTTATTTATTTCAAGTTTATGGGGAATTGTGCAAAATTGGACAGGTGATTTTATATTCTATCAGTGTGTGTTGGCCTCTTTCTTTATTTTGGAGTTGTTTCTTGCTATTTCCTTCTGTCCAAAATAATTTGGCTCTGGCTATTATAGAATTTGCTTTTTGAATAGAATCAGAAGAATGAGGTCCTGTGTTATCACCTTAGCTTTTTTAGCTTCTACCCCCATTCCCTTTATTAACGCTTGTATCTTTAGTTTTGAAGTTTATAGTCTGTCTGGCATAGTAATGTTCAGTCATTTATTAAAAGTTAAGCTGAATTTTCTTTTTTTTTTTTTTTCCAGTCTCCAGAACATTCTGGTTATAAGCTGGATTTTCTGTTTGTACAAACATTCTGAAACATACGAATATGCTTTTTCTCTCAAAAGAATTTTAATTTCATCCAGAGTATTTTGAAAGCCCACATTGTGGTAAACACTCTCTTTGTTTTTGTTTTTGGTAAAGTTTCTAACAAAGATTAATTGCTAATAGGAATGTAAAGAAACGATCTTTAGTACCTAAGGAAAAAAGTAGCCCATGAAACCTAAATATTGAGAACTAATTATATCTGAAGTGGCTGTAATCATTTGGTGACAATACAGTAATTAAATTCCATAGAGTCTTTGACCTGGATACCATTCTGTTTTGTATAAAAAATCAGAAATACTTTTAGTGATTTCTCAAATCATATCAGATATGTTCACAATGTGCAAGAAATCATTGGGTTTTAAAATATAGCTTAATTTTTAAAGTTTTCACAATGAATTTTAAGAGTGAACATGTTATGATAGAAAATTATTGCTGTTCTAAATATTGTTGAAATGTAAATACTGAAAAAAATGTACAAGAGCTATAGTAAATCCTAATGTCTGTGTATTTAAAATGTCATTCCCTTTTCACAGGGAATGTGGAGTGTCCTGTTTTTAGAAATAGTCATACGCAAGGTGTTATTTGCTGCTCAGTGCAATTCTTTGACTAATATGAGCCCTCATTTTTCGAGGTTCCAGCTTTTATTTTCTTTTGTTTGTATTCTTTATAACCCCATTAAATGTTAATAACAAACAAATAACTAAAAATTTCCATTTACTTTAGTGGAAGAAATGTAATAGTTTTGTGGGCTGTTGAAAAATACCTTTTTGTTTAAGGAAGGTGTTGCAGGGGCGATTTTAATTTGGGTTTTGTTGGGTTTAGAATAAAAATAAGAGAAAACTAAACTACTTAAATGTGTTGGGGATTTATACTTAGTTGGATTTTATTACAACTAAATACAGGGGCTTTGTTGGGGGGTTATTTGGGCTTTGTGGAAGGTTGGAGGCAGTGGGTGGGGATTTGTTTTTGGATTTCATTTTTAAAACATACATAGAGTCTCAGATACTTGTTAAAGATATTTATTTTATTAGCATTGCTTGTTACAGTCCTGTCTGACAATTCAGGAGAGATGTTTTTGGCCTAAATAGTATTCTTCCTTACATAATGTACTCCTGAAATGTGTTAACAAAACGCATTACTGATTGACCATTCATATGCCTATACATAAACCATAAATAGATTTTATCCTAATGGATTTGAGGGGGTTGATGAGTTCCCAGTGATTTTTTTGTTTTGTTTTGTTTTTAAAGTGGGTGGTATTGGTAACATGGAGGGATGGAATTTAGAAAATGTACTTTAAAGCACTAAAATAAAATACTCTAAAATAGGAGCTAATCTAGTTTAGTGACATGGAGTCATATACTTTTGTTAGAGAGCTCCACTGTAGTTGTGACTCTAGGAAAACTGCTTCCCTCCTTGAAGGGTCAACTTCCTAGTCTTAAAATGAGATGATAATAGTGTCTATCTCATAGGGTGGTTGTGAGGATTAAAGGAGTTGATACCCATAAAATACTTACAACAGTGTCTGGCACATAGTAAACACTTAATAGTGCTGCTATTACTATTATCAAACAGGCCAATTTGTTATGCTATACAAATGTATCCTGTCCTTGTTTAACCTTATTAATTCAGTGGTATAAAATTCAAGTAGAAGAAAGTGATTAAATGTAGAAATAAATTAGAGATAGTCTAATTGTACCATTGTGAAACTGGACAATAGTGAAAATAAAAATAACACCTAAATTCCTAATTTCTTACATAATACCAACAGAAAAACATTTTTTATTAACATCTAATCTAATAACATGGATTTTAAACTTATTTTGGCAGTAATATGTCATATAACTTATCTTTTGATATTGAGTCCCATAGTAAATCATTGTTTTTGTAGGACCTAACACCATTAATCAAGTGCTTTGGTAAACTAGGATTTTATCAATAATGGTCTGTGTTTACTTAGGAAAATGTTTTAGGTTCAAACTAAGGCATTTTCTATTGACCTCTTATTTTGTACCTAATTTTTTTTTATAATTATAAGGCATATCTTTAGTAATTTATGACTAATATTTAAGAATAAAAAAGTATACACAAGTTATATATGATGAAAAATGTCCTGTGTTTTCTAGCCTGTATTACTTTTAATGAAGTCCTTTTCTTTTTGTCTACTTAAGCTTATTTCTTACATGATTTAATGCCATTATTATGGCATATTTTCTATGTCAGTTATCAAATTACAAAGAGTAGCCAGAATGGAGAGATTTGTGTTTACTTATTATTCTTTGTACTTTTTTCTGAATTTCTTAACCCCTATTTCTCTGAGGAAATTATTTGAAATACAATGTTTGGGTCAGTATTCTGTAACCATGAAATAGGATCCTATTATAATATTGTTAGGAGCTAAAGATAATCTTTAAAGAAAAGTCAGATCTTTTCAACAATTTATAAGGGTTTGTGCTGTACATACAAATTGAAGGTCTATTATTGTATACCCAAATATCATTGAACAGTAGAAAGCAAAGAAGAAGACCAGTGGACAAGAAAATGTGAATTAAAGCTTTTGTACTTTACTTTAGAGGAACTCTAAAGTCTAATAAACTTAATTTTCTGATTTTCCAGTCTACATGGCAAGTTAGAAGAAGCAAATTAGTAGAAGGGATGGGTACTTGCAGAGGCTGGCATAATGACAGCAGAAGAAATACACAGCTAACCCTGAAAGAAGAGCTGTAATAACTATGCAAAACAAAGCAAGAAATGTAACAATATGCAGTTATTAAATGTAGGGGCAAACTATCTTTTTTCTTTTAATAGTGTTCAAGGATATGAGAGTATTATAATTTACTACTGTATTATGGTATAGTGCTGTGATAATTGTATATGTGGCTGACCTTGATTCATTAAAAGATGATGTTTTGGCTATATTGTGAAGAAAGCTTAGACAAGGCAGCTGCATAGAAGAATGCTCATTAAATACAGTAAAATACACTTGGAAAAATTATTTTCCCTTACAAAATTATCAAGGAAAAAAAAGAAAAGAGGTATTTTATTGGTGAAGCATATTTGCTGTTTATATATAGAATTATATATATTATATTTTATATTATAATTATATATAGAATTCCCCAAAACAGCCTGCACCTGATTTTGTCAGGTGGAGAAAACATTATAAAATTTTTCTTTCTAACAGCCGTGAAGTTCTGGCTAAGGAGTCAAACGATTACATTTTAATACCACCTCTAATTACTGACTGAATATTCTGGCATTAATTCTGTGCCTCAGTTTCCTCAGTTGTAAAACAGGAATAAAAACTGTCTAGGCCTATCTCACAGTTAACTATCAGACTCTAATGAGCTTAAACCTAAGGAGCTGAGAAGTGTGAAAATGCTTTATAAATTGTAGAGTCATTATGTAAACTAAGACACTGATGCCTTTTAATTATTTGTAAGGACATTTCCCTTTTTAAATATGTCACTTTAAAGATATATATTCTTCGCTAATGACCCCTTATTAGGTAAATCTCCTGAAAATACATGCAAAATTATATCGGAATGCAGTTTTCTGGGAGAGGGTTGATATTTTTCATCCTGTTCACAAAGGATTAAAAAAGATTAGTAACCACCTATGAAAGAAAGTAATCCTTAAACTGTATCTTTTAGGAATTGTTTTGTGTGAATTTTGACTCCAGAATATCATTTAATTTCTTGAAAACATCTCATGTTTGTTTGGCTGCTCTG